AAATATTCTTGCCACCGAGTGTCAGCAACGCGCTTCTTCTAACCTTTCAATCTGGAGATATGCGTCTGAGAAGTCCAGTTTGACTAGACACTTGCCACTGTTCAGACATACACATAGGTCTTCATTTCGGAGTAGAGGGTATTTGTGGTCTTTTGAAGCGGCATTCAGGCCAGTAATCTGCACATAAGCGTCCCTTTCCGTCTGCTTACTTAACAAGCACAAAGGGGCTGCTCATGAAGAGGATTTCGTCGGTTTGAAAACTCCGGTTGACGGTAGCCGGTCAAGTTCCTGGTCGATGATTGAAAGCACTGTATATGGAACTGGTCTCTTCGGTCGTAAGACTGACTTTGTTTCTGGCCACAGGGAAGCTTTTGCTTGGCTTTTGTGCATAATCCCGGACCATCTTGCACACCCGAGGACTGCTCCGCTGTAAAGGCTTTGTCTACCTTGTAGATGCGTCGCTCACTTTGTTGTATACGAACCGCAACGGAACATCAAGCAATTTCATATTTTCAATCAAATCCGGACCGAGTAAGTTTAGACCGGGAGGTCTCGTTACCTAGCATACCCCTAGGAACTGACGGTCTTCGAAAAATACAGGACAAAAGATTTCATCGGCCAAGTCCCGCAGTCCTCCTGATGCATTAGTTGCAATTCGAATTTTTATCTAAACAGGTGGCACATCGACCTTCTTCTAAATTGTCTCGAAAATGTGCGGGATGTCTGAGGCTGTGTCTACTTGAAGGCGTACGGGCACCTGGTTTACAACAACTGCTACCAATTTGCTTTTTGCGGTCCCTGTATGGAAGGTAGCAAAAACAGGATAAATTTGAGGTCTTTGTTTAGTTAAGGATGTGGGTAAGAACGAATTGGCAGGTTTGGTGTAAACGTCTTCGTTGAAAATGGTTGGGCGACAATGATCCTCCTTGTGCCCCGTTTATTGTATTTTGACAGAGATGCCCCTTGAAGGGCAGCAGTTGAGGAAGTGCAATTTGCCATATTGCCAGCACGCGGAAGGTGGTCTGTTTGACTTCAATGCATTTTGAACCGCCGCTGTACTCCCGCGCTGGTTTGCTACTGCTAACACATTCACGGGACATGAACTGTGGCCTTGCGAAATCATGTTCGTATCCTGCTTCAAGTTGCCTAACCTCTGGAATTCGGAAGGGATGGACATGAGATTGATGAACTGGTCCTGCTTAATTTTATTTCGCAGCCTCATGTGTTTTGCGGCATCCTCTGGCGCTTGAAGACCACACGTAAAAATTAAGGCCTTGAACTGGTTGTCTGCTATTGCTTTTAGCCTGTTACGCTCGCACAGACGATTGACGGTACTGGCATAAGGTAGGAAATCGCCTGACGCTTACTTAATGAACATCATGCAGCTGTATTGGACGCTGAATAAGGAAGACTGCTCACCAAAAGTCTTTTAGCGGATGTACAAGTTGGTCAAAGTTAAAACTGTTTGGGCAGCTTTGCAAAATAAACTTGGGAGGCTTGCCGTGCTCCTTGGTTGCCAACTTACGCAAAATCAGTCTGCACTTCAATCCGTCGTCAGCATCAGTGAATTCGGACTGGAATACTTCGGATCCACTGAAACAAGATTCGAAGGTTAGACCGGCATCCGGGTCGTACTGAAACTCACAAATGTTGTTCGCAATCGCATCCGCTGATGATTGTTGCTTTTTCTTGTTTGGTCTTGCTAGAAACGAAAAAGGTTAAGGGATACTGTTGAGCAATCCTGTCGGGCTTTTTTATATTACTTCTGTTGAGGCTGAAGTATCGCAGTAAGTTGCTCCACTGAAAACGACGCAGTTCGTCGTATCCAAACAAACCGTTACCTCTGTTGCCAATCAGTTAAGTAAGGCAGTTAATTCAGACCCAATAAGAAACCAGAGCTGTGTAATAAATGGTTATTTGCGTAGCAGCCAGTCTTAAATTACCGCAACAGGACGTGCCAAGCACTCGAGGTCACATGCACACAGAATCCAAATTATCAATCAATAGATACGGCAGACGGACGCGCGCTTTTAGCGTCCAGTCATGCAGATGATTTGGGTTCACTGATCCCTCGGCTAGGAGGTGACCCTCCAGGCAGAAAGTGCCTCGAGGGCTCTGGCCTGCTCTATAATATAATATATAACAATGCCCCTGCGTATAAAATTCCAAGGGACAACACCCAATCTTAAGGAAATCGACTGATGCAGTATGCACTAATCTCAACGAAATGTTTGACGCTGCTTTACCGCAAAAACTATCAAAATATGATAACCGACCTTCTGGCATTTAGGAATTACTGATCCTAATATTTGGTTTATTCATGCAAGTGCATGGAACTATTGTAACAAATAGCCTGGTCCCTAGCGGGTATAGTGTAGCGCCTTGACGAATGCTACACAAGAAATCCGTAGCCCAGTAAGACAGAAGACGGCAGGATATAAAGAATGTCTTGAGAAAATAGCACTGTACAATAGCTATGTAAATATAGCCTGAGGGCAGTGGGAGAAAGTGGTGAAGCAATGAGTTACACCACGACGGAGCGCAACAGCCGGGAACACGCGGGCAAGATGGCGGACCAAGTTCAAAAATGCAGTCCGGTATATATAGGCTTTGGATGAGTGCAAAGTAAAACAAAATGTGTACAAGTCTGGATGGTGATGCTTGATGGAGTAAAATGTCATTGTCACTACACAGGCCTCCCCTAGAAGGCCGAGGGACGAGGACTTCGATCGATGTTGGCTTGCAGATGTATAAAAGGCAGAATCATAGGAGTTCGTTAGTATTTAGATTATTTAATCTTCTTGTGGATTGGGATGCATCATCGGTGGGCCGTCCCAGCGGGCACACCGGACTACAAAAAACTGGCTAATCCAGAAAAAGGGCCGGTAGGACCTTTCACCGCTGCTGAAAGACGGTGCGCTTGGGAGAGGTCACTCCCCCACCGCATTCCAATCCACTGCCACAACGAAGCTGTAATCCTGTTCGTACCGGCGAGCCGTGTGGGACCAAAACCAAAGAGCCAAGCACACGAGCAGCCGAAGCTAGGAAGACGAGCCAGACAAGCAACTGGAGCGAGCCAAAATGAGCCTAACAGATCACGATCCACAGGCCAACGTGTGTGGGCTAGACGACCAAGCTTTAGAGGTAGATCAGAGCATCCAAACGACCAAAACAATTGAGAAACAGCCAACCGTTGAACGGACGGACCCAAACGTGCCAGCCTCATGACTTTACCTGATAGATGGGGAAAAACTCAGGGAGACAGATTCAGATATTTACTCTGCTAACAGAAAAGCATAATACAAACGAGGAGAGAAGATGAAAAAGATTCATGAGGTGTGGATGAGTCCGACAAAATCGGAGAAACAAACAGCTTTACGAACCTTTCTACCATGACTGGTATTAGTTTGCGACGAATCTGATGACTGGGCTTGTGGTGGAGCTGAAAAGGTGGGCGTCGATACGGGTGGCTCTGTAGATTGCGTTAAAGTCGATGATGGAACAAACTGTTGTTCATCGATGAACGCAGGCTTGACGCGATCTATCGAGACAGTATCCCTTTTACCCCCACGGTCAATAACCAAAGTTTTTGAAGACCGTTTAATAACACGGTATGGACCTGTGTAAGGTGCGGAGAGAGGCTGTCTCACTTGGTCGACACGTAAGAATACGTGAGAACATGTAGAAAGGTCTTTCGGAACGTGCACTGGAGTGCGTTGTTCCCTGGGTCTCGCGGGGTGCAGCTGACGCATGTGGTGCGTCAGACGAGCTATGTAGCTCTTGTAGTTCCATGCCCTCTCCGGGGTTGGGGCGACTAATTGTCCAGGGAGACGCAATGTGCAGCCATAAACGAGTTCGGCCGGAGCAGCGTTAATGTCGGTTTTGACAGTATTCCGTAAGCCAAGTAAAACGGTGGGAAGCGCTTCGTACCAGTCTGCGTTATCATGTGCACATAGTGCAGCTTTCAGCTGGCGATGAAAACGCTCAACCATGCCGTTGGCGGCAGGGTGGAATGCAGTCGTTTGGACGTGACGGCAGCCGAGAGTCTGAAGAAGGTGAGCAAATGTGCCTGCGAAGTGCGAACCTCGATCAGTTGTCACAACGGCAGGACAACCAAAGTATGAGACCCATCGCTCTAGAAAAGCGCGAGCGACAGTGTCTGATGAGCAATCTGGCATTGGGATGGCATCAGGCCATCTTGTAAAGCGGTCTATACAAGTCAGCAAGTAAACGCATCCTTTAGATGGAGGCAGTGGCCCAACAAGGTCAACATGAAGATGGTGAAAACGGGCGTCAGGAAGTGGAAATGAACCAAGCGGACTTTTCGTGTGTCGATGAACCTTAGACTGTTGGCAACTAAGGCACGTACGAGCCCACTGTCTAACGTCCCGGTTGACGTTGCGCCACACGAAGCGTTGTGTGACGAGCTTAACTGTGGCACGAATGCCTGGATGCGATAAACTGTGAAGAATGTCAAACACAGTGCGTCGGAAAGCTTGAGGAACCACTGGTCGTGGTGAATTTTGCGAAACGTCGCAAAGTATGGTTCCATCCGAAGTAGGCAGTGGAACTGGTCGTATGCGTAAGGAGCTAGAGTTACGAAGCTGATCCAGCTCCGGGTCGGTCTGTTGAGCAGCAGCCATTGCCGCTAGATCGATACCTTCAGGGGACGTGATGGAGCTGACGCGAGAAAGAGCATCAGCGACGGAGTTCTGCACACCCGAGACGTGCCGTATGTCTGACGTAAACTGTGAGACATAGTCCAGGTGGCGTATCTCTCTCGGAGAGTATCTGTCGGATGACGAGTCGAGGGCGTAAACTAAAGGTTTGTGGTCAGTGAAGACGGTAAAGCTTCTGCCCTCTAGAAAAGGACGAAAATGACGGATGGCGAGGTAAACTGCCAGAAGTTCTTTCCCGAAGGTGCTGTAACGTGTCTCCGCTGGCTGCAACCGTTTCGAAAAGAAACCCAAAGGTTGCCATGTATTGTCGACAGCCTGCTGAAGAACAGCACCAACGGCCTCGTCTGAGGCATCAGTGACGAGAGAAATTGGAGCAGATGGTACTGGATGTGCTAAGAGAGCAGCATTAGCGATTGCGTCTTTAAGGTTTGAGAAGGCTAATCGCGCGGACTTGGTAAAAACAAACGAACGTTGATTGCCCGAAGCAAGTCAGTCAAGGGCTGCATTATCCTAGCACAACACGGAATAAAGCGTCGATAGTAGTTGACTATCCCAAGGAAACGTTTAAGCTGTTTAAACGACGTAGGTTCAGGGAAATCTTTGATGGCGGTTACCTTTTGAGACAGTGGTTCAATACCTGTAGCTGAGATGCGGTGACCTAGGAACTCGATCGACGATTTTCCTAGTTCGCACTTGCTAGGGTTCAAGGTAACACCTCGATCAGATAGGCGTTGGAATAGAATACGCAGATGCTCTAAGTGTTGCGACTTAGAGGCGCTAGCTACTAGGATGTCATCCACGTAAGGATATGAGAAGTACAGACCACGATGAACCGCTGGAATGTTTGTGCAGTGTTCCTTAACTCGAAAGACATTCAAAGGAACTCGAATAAACCAAAGGGTGTTATAACTGCAGTTTTGGGGATATCGCAGTCCTCTGCAGGTATCTGGTGATATGCTCGCGTCAGGTCTAGCTTACTAAACACTGGCTTACCACTCAGTCTGCTACTATGCTACTGAGACTTACGCGGTATACGCCCCGCAGTCTAAACATGATGTTTCCCTTAAATCTAGAGTCTGCTAGACTAGCCTACCATCTTCTGCAGGCTCTTTTCTTACCTTTACTACATGGCCGATTAATCCAGTCCCGCTTAGTCGGCCTCATACTCAATGAATACATTTAGACTTCTGAGACATCACTTCTATTGGTTCGGCTGACATAATGGTTCTGTTTACATTACTTGGAGAGCCTCGTGGGCTTTTCCACTCTTTACCAATTATCCCTTCTCCTCTAGACCATAACCTTTTCCATCGCTTTCAGTTTTCATTCCTTTTTAAATCTAATGATTAGCTGTACTGCCCTGCCGTTATCTCGTCTCACCTGACCCGTCTGTCTCTTTCAACCTGCTTTTATTTTCCTATTATCCGTGGCCATTTTTCTAATTGCGCTCCATTATTTTATTTTTACGGCTTACACTCATTGCGGTTAGCCAAGTTGTCCTCGTGCGCATTATCTCCTTCGCTCCGAGCTCGCTCCTGATTATTGGCGGCATTTGGACAATTGCTAAGTATTTCTTGACTAGTACTTCAATTATTATGCTCAAGTTACTACTGTTCTTATTCCTATGCTCTTTACCTTATGCTCGCATTTGTCTATTTTTGACACCGTACGTGTCATAACGACTCCCAATACACGGCAGCTTAGGCCCCTGTGATCATTTTTCTAGATTATGACGCTTTTGGAATGTGGAATCATGAGCGCCTTAGCGTAAATACTCTTATGAACTACTCCTCGCACTGCCGTCAGCATTCATCCGCTCCTAGCCGATTCCTTGAATTTCCTCTTGGAACGTTGCTTTACCTATTTTGCTCCCGCATTCGGTCTCAACCTAGTTACCGTTAGTCTCACCTAAGATGCCTCTCGTATTCGAAATGCTGCCATCAACATCGGTTTACCAGTTTCTCTCCAACCATCGCATCATTCGCTTAACGTCTGTTATTTCGATCTTTTGACCCTGCGCATGCAGAATCTTCTTCCCACTTAGTAGTTGTAGACTGAGTCACACGAGCGACGTAATGTATAGAACGCGCTTGCAAATTATGTATGCTAAACAGAAGTACATAAGTTTTAATGTATCATAGGCACCGATGAGCACCACCAGTCTGTGTTAGTGCTTCTTGATTCATTGCTGTCTCTGTTTGCCTGCCCCTTGTCCGTTGCCCGTGTTTCCCGAGCTTCACACAGTTACTTCCGCCAAAACAAGAAGGTTTATCCTCTGGAACTGGTCAACCCATCTTCAAACACTTGGTCTTTCTCCGGGAAATGAAGAACCCACACATCGTTCCAAATGGAGCTCTTTTCGCCATTCTAGAGACGCTACATTCACGGGGCCTAACCAAATGGGTTTAGCTCACCTCGTAGTCAGAGAACAATTTGCTCATTTGGAGTAATATATTTACATGGATACCCGTTCCACAACCCAAGACAAACAACTCTGGCGTGCTTACCTTCACTGCCTCAAACATTCCTATTCGCCAGTCACTTGGAGCTATTCTGATATCATTTCACGAACAGCGTTGCGCACGTATACGTGGCTATTCCGATGGCCTTCCATGGAATTTTCACTTGGCTATGGAAACAGTTACACTTACTTACATTTGAAGGAATCCCGAATCCAATTTGCGAAGAATGGCATTTTTACGTGTTATAGTTATATTCAGCCACAAGAAACAACTTCACTCACCGACCCCATGACAAGTCCAGCGTGGATAGCTGGACACGGTTTGCGAGCCGAACCAGAATATAATAGAAGAGCCGGCCTCTATTAGCAATGTGTTTACTCACCTGCATCATTATCATTCGACTCTTCGAATGTTGCATCATTGACCAGCTTCAACGACTGCTGCCGTATCAGTACTAAGCCATTCGGCTGTCAACCGAATAATAGAGTGCAAAATCGGTCTATACGATGCATAGCTGATTAGCGCTACCGTTTAACGGAAGCTACGGCAGTGTTCCAGGACGCGGTGGGTTTTTGCATGGCAAGCGGTCTCCCTATAAAAATCCACAAATATCCGCCAAACAATACTGCAACGTGGCGGATGTGACTCGCCACAAAATAAAGTCACAGCTAAACTTTTCACGCGGACGCAGTCCTAAGCCTTCTATTTTCAACTTGTGCAACCAATCCCATTATGAAGCATGCTATGATGGAACACAGATCATCCCTATTTTGTAATGGTCGTTGGTGTCACCAAAACCTTGCTTAGGTTCCTGTGCTCACGGATCACTGCCTGGCGAAATTACCCCTAACTTGTGTCTTGATTGATTTTTGCGCGCCACAGCGCCATCATGTTCTTTGGTCTGGCTATTACCTGACAATATGCCCACTCATTTGAACTACACCGTTTTTACCTTTCATTAAAACGAAATGTTTTAACATTCCAAAGAAGCTATGCTTGTATGCATATTTGATCACGCCTTCACAGGTGTGTTTCGTTTTACCGAGAATACACCATTTATTTATTTATTTATCTGCAACTGTGCACTTGTTCAGGGCCCGGTAGTCTCCGCAGGGCCGCCATTCACTGCATTTCTTGGGCACCACGTGGAGAGATGAGGCCCCTTGACTTTAGGAAGGACGGATGACACCAAGTTCCAGCATGTGCTCGAATTCCGCGTTAGCGGCCTTTAGCTTTTCAGGGGCGAGACGTCGTGGTCGTGCAGAAACCGGTGGGCCACAGGCGCGTATATAGTGCGTAACGCTAAATGCGACCGGAAGCGTAGCGTCAGCTGAATGGACCAGCTGCGGAAACTGTCTGAACAGATCTAAAAATTCCTTATCAGCGTAGGGCTGAATGTAAATGGGAGTGACAGAAACACAAGATGTGCGAACTCCACATGTGAAAAGCTGGGTCTTTTGGTCAACGAGTTTGCGATGACACGTATCGACGAGAAGATCGAAGTGTTGAAGGAAGTCGATACCAAATATAGCAAACGGAACAGCAGCGATGGTGAAAATCCATCGAAAGGGACGTCGTATTCCGAGGTCAATAATAATGTAGCATTGATCGAAAACTCGGATAGCAGTACCGTTAGCAGCACGCAAGTTGGTTGTCTGTGGCTTAGTCGCGTCGCCTGGAACCGGTGGGATCACGCTAACTTCCGCCCCGGTATCAACCAAGAACATGATCCAGGTGCTCAGATCAACGATTTTGAAGAGGCGACTTGGACGACTTCGGCCGACGACGTTCGTCACCACTACGTGTCGGCCTGTCCTTTTCCTGTTACGGGAAATGAGCATGGTTTTATACAATTTCTAGCCGACCTTCCAAAACGTGCGTGATAACGGCAAATTTGGCGTCGTGTTCGTCTTCGCGATGAGCTAGGGGAACGGGATGGAGGATCCCGTTGGTGCTGCTGTAACTTTAAGCTTTGAACTTCTTGCTGTAGCGCGGCTATCTCTGCTAAGAGCTCACCAGTCGAAGGTGGAGTAGCGGTGTCGATTGTTTGGACCGAAGGGTCGACAGGAAAACCTGTGTCAGGTGAGCGAAGAGAACTAGACGACGGACACGATGGTCCAGTGAAACGATCCATCATGTCATCAGCAATATCTGCAACTTCTGACAAAGGCTGCGATTTCGCAAGCGATAGCATAGCTTGTACGTTTTCAGGCAAACGCGGAAGCCATATCTCTCGAAGCAGCGACTCATCCATATGTAATCCTTGAAGAAGACCACGCATCCCTAGCAACAGCGCGGATGGCTTACTAGAACCTAGCTGTAGACCAGTAGATAGGTTATGCAGGCAGGACTTCTCTGAGGGAGTAACACGCTTTAATACAACGTTCTTGAGAAAATTATAACGGTCAGGAGAACGAGACGTAATAATAAGATCACGTAGTGCTAAAGTAATATCAGTCGGCAGGCGTGTTAGCAAGTGATTAAACTTTGCAGAGTCATTGG